TGGACAGGAATCCCTTTAAAGAAAGACAGTACTATATTTAGAACATTGTATTTAATTCATCAACAAAACCACAACAGTAACTAATATTTATTACTACCCCCAAATGGGCCTTCAAATAAATACTAAGTTTTATTAGCATACACTTGTTTGTACCAGGTGCAACATACTCAGAGGAACAAGCTCTATAGTTTAAAAAATACAAGTCAAATCAGTTCTTTTATTCTGACTATAAAGGGAATAATATTTCTTTAAGAGGATCTGCTCATGGAAAAGGATCAAATCTCTGCTACTCAATATTTCTTAAACATCTAGAAAATGGTTGGTGGTAAATAAATACAAAATGTAATAATCTTCCTAAGCTTAAATAATTAAACTGATTTTTCCAAAGGGAATATTCACTGGAGTAACCAGCCTGTTACAACAGTTAAACAGTTTGAGTCTGCCCTGACAATTCTCACTGCTTACTGCTAATCAGTCTTAGAAAACTTGGTCCTTTTTCTCTTTCCAGATAAAAGCTTAATCATATAAACAAGGAGGGTGCTGGAATAAAGGATATAACTTTTTATTACATATATAGGTAGACATACAGGACAAAGAGAGCTCAGTATGTTCAGCTGGTGCAAACCCGTGTAGCTCTGGCTTTAGCCTGCTTTGCTGAACCACCGAGTCTTGTGCAGTCAAACACTGTGTGAGAGAGCCCTTACTATAACCTGTTCATTCAGAGAGAGTCACGTTCGTGAAAGGTCTGTGAAACTTTACATATACAGAAGAGAAATAATAATTAACTTGAAAAAGAACCAGGGCCTTCAGCCTCGAGTCTGCAGCTCACACATTTTGCAACTTGGCTTAGGTGCATGAGCTGGCTCTGCCTGCTGGCAGCAATGCAGTGCTGGGAGCCACATATCCTCCTTCCCTGCAGGCTCATCAGCACCTCTGCGTTTCGAACAGAAAGGGAGAGTTGCATTTCTCTTCTGTGGAAAATGACAGTGTGAGTTCTCTGCCTACTGGAAGGAATCCATGCCAAACAGCAACATTAGAAATGCTTCAACAATGGTGAATTATTCAATATTGTTCCAGTACAATACTATTCTTCAAAACTTTGAAGTTGATTAGGTTTCAGTACCAGCCTCCACAAAAAGCTTAAGTCAAAGCAGTCATGCTTAATGAAAATCAGGTTTCTGGCCCACTGGGAACTGATCAGTACAATGCTGGTATCATGGGCTGAAAATGATGGGGCAGGGAACGGGCACAAGGACAAAAATGCTCTGAAGGAAGGTGACTGTGTGTGAGTTGTGGCACAGTGCCTGCCAGCATGGCTGGTCTGTGCTGGAGCTGGCACAAACAAGTCACAGGGTTTATATTGTCTTTAGCAAATGTGAGAAGACATTAAGGGGAAAATTGAGTTTTTGTTCCTTTCCCAGTCTTTTCTATCGTGCAGAGCACAAAGACATTGACATCAGATTTGATTACTTCAAGCATTTAAGAAATAGAGAAACTCGAGTGATGCACAGGTATCTCTGCCAATCAACTTGTCCTGGGAGCAGGTGAAGGAATCCCGTATGCGTGTGTGTCTGTGGAAGTTTAAAACTAACCACAGAGAAAGAAAGTGGAAGGTTTATTATTTTCTGGATAGGGAGTGGTACCGGGAAACCCCGGGGATGCAGGAACGCGGGCAGTGACCCCGGCAATCCCCGGGATGCGGGATGCAGGGTTTGCGGGCAGTGACCCCGGCAATCCCCGGGCTGTGAGGAAGGATCGGGAGCCGGGAGCGAGGCGGGTTCCTCGGTGTCCCAGCAGAGTCCCCTGCTGGCCGCACGGTGCATTGCAGGGTATCCCGGCCCGAGCCTCCGGGCATGCCGGAGAGCCATAAAAGTGTTTGAAAAACAGAACTCTCAGGGCAGGATGCACGGGCAGCTGTGCGCCTGCCTGCTGGAAAACGTGCGATGTGTTGAAGGCTGAAACATTTTGCATATAAGGAGGAAAATACATTGTTCGCACTGTCCCTGTCAAATGAGGATCGAAGCCTCTATCCCAAAGAGAATCAAGGAACTACAGAGCTTTCTGCAGCTGATCTTTCAGGCTTGTTGAGGACATCTCCTTGTCCAGCTGCACTAAGAGCTTGGACAGTGGGTAAATCTGTAACTACGAATTCAGATTTGGCTCCTGTTCTCTCTGAGCTATATTAATATTTCCATTCCCAGGTCTAACAGCAGTATCCTGTGCTTACACATAAAATAAGCAGTGTACTGTTAACTACAGGCTCTAAAATTTGGTCTTAAAAGGTTCCAGTACTGACTATCCCTTGGGCAGACACGAACTGTCAACTATTTGTCATTTTCTTTATCTTGCCAACAGAAGTGTTGTGTGGGTACCTGTTCTCACAGCTGAGAAAAACAAACTCTATGCACAGGGGATACTGATAAGTATGAGCAGGGCTAAACCTCAGGCAGAGGATGGGTGCAATAAATATATGCTTATTTCAGAGCTGTTCTATGATGCTATGAAGCTTGTTTATGTAACTAGATAACTGAAATAATATCAATCCCCACTCTTAATGAAGGCCCATGCCTCAACAAAAACAAAAGCTCATGCAGGACTCAAACTGACAGGTTAGTGGGTGGTGGTTGCTTTCCCAATATTTTTCTGTCTGTGGGAGAAGAAAGAAGTAAGACCACAGATGACACCAGAAATATCAGAAATAGGTACAAGAGCTCTGGGATAGAGCAGTTCCAGGAACAGGAACAAAGTTCAGGAAATCAAGAAACTGTACATTGAAGAAATGGTCTCGTGTTTTTTGACAGATTTCCTCTGCGTCCAAAGAACTTTTAAAATAAACACCATTCAGAGATACCTGACTATATCATAATTTCCTTATTCCTAATTAATACAATCTGCAAAGTTCTGTTTTAACTCCCTAACAATCAAGTCAAGAGGGGGAATACAAATTTTCAGCCATTTTAAGGCTAAACTAACAACCTGTTTAAGGCTGGATTTCTGCTAGCATTCTGTGAGTACAAGATTTTCTAGTCTATTGTCAATCTTCTGACCCATGCAGTTGCCACTTTTTACTTCTGCTACATCCCTTCACAATAAGCTCTGGTCTTGGAAACAGGGTAGTTTGTGCCAAGTCCCCCTTTTAATCATCCTTTCTTACCTCTCCTTTTCTTTTGAATTAATTTCTTTACTTGTGTGTTCAAAGAAAAACTTGCATTATTTTCAACTAGGAGAGCAATATTTAGACTTCTTTTTATGGTGTTGTGCTCCTGGCTTTTGTAAACAATAATAGAGAGTAATTTAAAAGATAATTTAAATGCCATTGCTCTGGCTGGACAAGCTGAGGATATTCCAAATACACAAAGAAATGTAGTTTAAATGTGCATGCAGATTGGTAAAAATGAAGAGTACTGGCTTACTGATTTTATGAAATACTTGTGTGGAAAACACTGTGCTTGTTATTTTAAAAGAACCCAAAAGACAACCAGCCAAAAAAGCCCAAACTGTACAAGAATGTCATTATATCTGGAATGTTTTTTTCTTGCAAACCCTGCCATTTCAGTCTGTAATAGCAGGCACTGCTAGTTTGTTGTATAGGGAGATGGACTCACACTGTCTTGCAAGGAGAATTGAACCTCTCTGAAGGTTTGTGAAGTTTATTCTCTTTCCACCTCAGAAGACACTGCTGTGACAGTGAGGCTCAGAGCTGTCACCTCTCCAGGCAACTTAGGGCCATCACAGGTTGTGCCTGAGCAGCTCTTTCCTATGTGCTGCTGCTCTTCCTAACATCTCTAAATATACAAGAGGATCTAAAGAACTACTCATTTTAGGGAAGGAGATGTAAATCTGCTCCAACCCTTTTCTGTTCTCCTTACACTTCCTCATGTAAGACTCTTTTCTTTGGAAAACTTTACTTTGTCCTCTCAGAAAAAAATTACCTTACATGTATTATCTTGTTCTCTAGATGCATGGGCCAGGACCAGGTGTAAGTCTATGGTTATAAAACCAGTTTCATGCACAAAGCATGACTCAGCTTGTTCTGTGAAAAACCATGAGAAGGCAGATGTCAGGGTAGATGACTTAAAAATAAAATTAGTGCTCTTAATCAATTGTGTTCATTTTCAGCAACTGTCAGTGATCTGAAGACTAGAACCTTGTTTTTTTCTCAAAGTGGAAGATGAGGTCTTGGTGTATGAATTAGGTTCCAGAACCGGAACCAAATATTGCAGTAATTTTTTCTCAGCTCTGGTAAAGTTAGCTGTGTTACTTTCCATGTCTTTAATAACCTCTCAGCCTTGGGCACATGTGAGAGCTTTTGGCCATCCAGCTGATGTGTTTTTGTGACTGCAGACAGTGGGAAGGGAGTCAAACTTAGGGAAAAGCCTGCCCTCAGGTACACCCTCCCACTGCAAAAACAGCTGCTGTACACCAGCACTGAGATCATTAATTCTGCTACTGATAAAGTGCCATCACTAAAGGTTCTACCTTTAATGAACGAAGAAATCACTTTCACTTCCAGCCAAAGCCAGCTAGATATTATTAGTTCACTGGAGACACAGGGTTTTTTCAGTATTTATCATACTACAGCACACCTCAAAATACTGCAGGACACTACGAATTAACTGTGCTTTTTCACAGTATTTGTACAGTGTATTATCTCAATTGTTTAGATTTAAGGCAGGCTTTTTGATAAGGTGGGTTATTTATTCCATATATTTAGCTTCTAAGTAGCCTGAAGAAAAAAGTCCTCCCATTACAAGGGAAAAGGAAAATAAATTTTAAAACCCCCAACACATTAATTTTAAAGCAAATAATACTTATCTGAGGTAAAAATTATGTATGGCAGAAATGATCCTATCAATTAAAACACATGTTTATGGCTCCACTGCAGCAGCAGTAATGCTTCTGGCACTGTCACCTTATTCAGTCACAACTAAACCATTGTGATGACAAATATCTTTTAGGAAAGTTCAAAAATTCTTGGAATAATCATTGTCTTCACTTACCTTGAGACAACCAGAGGGAGAATCAGCATTTTCAGCATCCTCATCAGTAACTCACCAGGAAACTGGAAGTAACTAATTTCCTGGAAATACATGGAGAGAGGCTTATTGTTTTGAGCTAAGGACTGACTGTCTTCACAAGTTCTGCTAGAGCTGTGGATCAGATAACATTGCTAAAATCTGCACCTTTGGTGTAAAGATAAAGTGGCAAAGATAGCGGGCTTTAAAAGGTAATTTTAAAATTAATTAGATTACATAATGTGTTCTTATTCAATAAAAACTGCATTGTTTGTTCCTTTACAAAGGAAGATGAAAATGAAATGTGCCATCTCTTGGAGACTGTTAACCAGTTGCCCTGAATAATCTCTCCATTCTGCATTTTGTCTGTTTTCCTAGTTGTGTTTGAAACTTTGGCTTGGACACAAATGATGTTCAGACAGACAGTGGTTTGCAGTAGCAGAAGACAGAATCGGTTTAATTTAATTTCATTTACTAAAAGCCTTATTTTTGAACTGGAATTTCTGTTTTGTGCTCAAACAGTGCATTTATTAATGCAGTTTGCTGTCTGTCTGATTGATACAGCAGAAATGAGCACCAGCAAAGGGCTTAGTTGAAGTATACTGGAGGAGAATCCCCCAAGTGACTTCAGTAACATGTTCTGCTAATGATGGGAAATCTCAAATTTATTAATATGAAACACCATTAGTATAATATAAGCATCTGCACCCCTGTGCATCTGATGCTGAAAAATATTCCCAGTGTTTTCTTTAGCAATATGTATTCCAGAATAGTATAAAATGCAATATAGTGCACTACCAGTTTCTGCAGGCCTATATTAAAGGCTACATTTCATCTAGCTTAAATGTCCATTATTATTATCCATACCTGCAACGTTCTACTGTGCTCCTGCTATGCTTACCATGTGTCTGAGAGACTGGAACCCTCTGCTAACCAAGTGTTTGAGAACATATGAAAAGACCCAAAGAACAGCGTAGATTGACAAACAGATGAAATGAAACAATTTTAACAAGCAAATAAACTTGACTTTTAACTTCAAAAGCCCTCCCTGCAGTTCCCCAAGGTACATATGTCTTTTGTTATGTAAGTCTGGCATTTCCTCTGCAGGGACATGCTGTGAGCAGCTCTTACCTGCTGGGAGAGTCGCCTCGTCCTCAGGAAGAATCCCAGGAGGCAGCCGATGGTGACGGATAACACCGAGAGGATGAGCAAACCATTCCTTTTACAAACATCTTTGATCCGAGCGAGGATTGCATCCAGGGCCACCGCCATGCTGTCCTCCCTGCTCTTTGGAGAAAAATCAGCATCCCATGGGGAGAGAATTCACTCGCTCTTCTTCTTCGGGTGCGCAGATCTGGCTCTGTATAGATCAGATCAAAGCACTTCCAGTTCTGCTTAGCTGACCTGCAAGGTCACCTCTCTGCCAATAGCCACCAAGCAAGCAGCTGGCATTATTGTTCCAAATTAATACCAACAATCCTATTATCAACTACATCATTAAGAGCCTGGAAGAAGATTAGGGGGCTCTGGAAAATTAGAACAGAATGCAGTAGTATTTCTAAAACAAGACTAGTTCAAAACAAAGTGACACTCCTGGGGGAAAGGTGATGCATTCCTCAGCCTCCCGTTTGGGGTCTGGACACCCAAACGCAGAAAGGGAACCCTCCAAGCCAGCATTCAAACAGGGAACAGAGCAGTTTTCCCAAAGGGCAGAGCAGGTAACATTTTGAACAGGACTATCACAGCAGGGCAAGCTAGGTGAAACTGGACTTCATTAATTAAAGCAGGCTTGTTTTTTTTTTTGTCATTGCCAAAAAAAGGCTGAATGAGCAACATGAGAGACACGCATCAATCAGGAAATAGCCACAGACTGGAACATGCAAGGACACCTTCTGTCATTGGGCATTTATTATCTTGGAAGTGAAATGATTTCACTTTTCTTCCAACCACTATGTTGATTAGAGTAGGGCCAATTTACTTTCAGAGGATTATCAGACTAAGCCACAGGGATTGCTTTCCTTTCCTTTGCTGTGTCCGCATTCAATCCCAATGCTGATTTTTATGCTAGTGAGTGTCTGATAAAAATACACCACCATAACCATTCACATGCCATGCCTCCTTATGAAAGTATTTCTGTAGTTTCTGGTATATTCTAAAGATTATTCAATATTTTTATGGAAAATATTCCCCACAGTACAACAAGGTTATGTGTTTACAATATTACATTATTTTATACCGTGATAAAGTATTTGTTGTTACATGCTCATATATGAGTGAAAAAAACCTCAGGAGAGATTAAACTGTTCTTTTGTGTGGCTGAATCTCAATCCTGTGCAGTCGGTAGGACATATGGATACACACACACACAAAAAGCTGGGGGGGAAAATAAAAGAAAAAATATGTGGAGTGTGTATATTGAGCATAAAACAAAAAGAAAAGGACTGTAGAAAAACAAGAGGATTGCAGAAAATTTTATTAATGAATCTGAATGTTTTAATACTGTGTATGTTAGAGGACAGATTCTGAACCGCTTCAACACCCTGGAAACTTTACTACCTTAACAGCACGTGTCCAGCTGACATATGGAATGGAATAACAGAAAAAAGCTCCGCTTTTCCCGTTCGTTCCTGGGGCCCGAGAGCGGCGGAGATCGGGAACCCCGGGAGAGCGGGGGCGGGGCCCGGGGATAGCGGGAGGCGGAGCCATGTGCTGGGGGCGGAACCGAGTGCTGGGGGCGGAGCCGTGTGCTGGGGGCGGAGCAGTGTGCTGGGGGCGGAGCCGGGTGCTGGGGGCGGAGCCGTGTGCTGGGGGCGGAGCCGTGTGCTGGGGGCGGAGCCGGGTGCTGGGGGCGG